CAATTGCTTAGGTCTTTAGGTATATATACGGCGCGCGATTGTTCACGAGTATTAATCGGCTTAAGTTTAGACATGTGGTCCCGTAGTTGATCTACATAATTTTCTAAATTAAGTTTTTGACTGTTAGTATTAGGGTTAATAAATTCACCTGGTAGTCTCAGAGTTGTTCCGAAAACCAGTTCCGCAGCTGAACACTGTGCGTCAGTTTTGACAGATGTTCGTATTCCCAACATAACTAACGGTAGGAATTCTGTCCACTGATTGGGGTTTGAGTGAGATATAAGAGCGGTTTTTAGCTGACGATGAAAACGTTCTACCATCCCATTAGCCTGAGGATGATATGCAGTGCAGCGTATCCTATTAGAGCCTAGAAGTTTAGCCAAGTTATTAAATAGTTCGGATTCGAATTGCGCTCCTCTATCCGTCGTTATTGTTATGGGTGTACCAAAAATGGTTACCCAGTTCTGCATGAAGACTTTGGCTACTGTTTCTGCTGTGATGTCCGCTATCGGGATGGCTATAGGGAATCTGGTAAATCGATCTATGCATGTAAAAAGATAATTAAAACCGTTTGAACGTGGTAAAGGACCTACCAAGTCGATATGCACATGGGCAAAACGTGCATCTGGTTGCGAGAAAACACCTATGGGTGAACTTGTGTGACGATTAATCTTTGATTGTTGACATGCTGAACACTCTCTAACCCATTTGTGAACATCCTTCTGTAAATTCGGCCATATATATCTGGCATTGATTAGTTTAGTTGAAGCTTTTGCGCCAGGATGAGACAAAGAATGAAAGTTATTATATATCAACTTTCGCATACTTTTGGGAACGAAAGGTCGCGGAATTGGTTTGGTCGTGTCACAGTAGATTAGAATACCATCGACAGGTGATGGGAACTGTTTTAAATTAAGACTTGAATTGTTTGTTTTAAGCAGGTTTTGTAATTCTAGATCCTGCTCTTGTTCGTTTTTCAACGTCTCGAAGTTTACTGTGGACTGTTGTAGCACGTTCATTTCTAGCCTAGATAAAGCATCTGCCGCCTGATTGTCCTGACCTTTGACATGTCGGATATCGCTTGTGAACTGTGATATATAGTCAAGGTGTCGGACTTCTCGAGGTGAGTATTTATCGGCTCTCGCTTTTAATGCATTCGTCAGTGGTTTATGATCCGTAAAGACTATAAATTCCCTACCTTCTAACATGTGTCGGAAGTGTTTAATGGTCAGGTAGATTGCAAGAAGTTCTCGCCCGAAGGTAGAATACCTTGTTTCGGCTGGAGCGAGTCTTTTCGAGAAAAAAGCAATTGGTTTCCAGGCGTTTTTAACCAGTTGGTTAAGGGTACCGCCTACTGCTTTATCTGAAGCATCCACCATCAAAGCAAGTGGGGAAAGAGAATTCGGATATATCAACGTAGTTGCTTCAGCCAGTTTATCTTTAAGCTGTTTAATAGCTTCGATGGCGTCAGAAGACAGTTTGAATTCTTTTGGTTTTCCTTTAAGTGAATCTGTCAAAGGTTGCATTAATTGTGCACAACCTGGTATGAATCTGCGATAAAAGTTTATTAGGCCTAGAAAACTTCTCAGTTGTGTTAGAGAACTAGGTACGGGGTATTGTTTGATAGTATCCACTTCTTTTTTTATAGGTTTAATCCCTTCTGGGCTGATTGTGTGACCGAGAAATTCTAAAGTTTGAACACCGAAAACACACTTACTTTGATGTATGTTTATTCCATGTTCATCCAGTCTTTTCAACACTGCTTGTACATGCTGTTCGTGTGATTGCAAATCGGGGCTGGCAATTAACAAGTCGTCTATATACCCCTGCGCAAATGGCATATCTCGAAGTAGGTTATCTATGAATCTTTGAAATGTCTGTGCCGCATTTCTCAGGCCGAATGGCATGCGTACAAACTCGAATAAGCCAAAGGGTGTAGTAATAGCTGTCTTGGGAATATCTTCATCAGCCACCGGGATATTGTGATATGCCCTGACTAAGTCAATTTTAGTGAATATGTTCATACCCTGTAAACCGTTGGTGAAATCTTGGATATGAGGTATTGGGTACCTATCAGGCACGGTTTGACGGTTTAGGGCTCTGTAATCCCCGCACGGTCGCCAGTCACCTTCATTTTTCTTTGGGACCATATGCAAAGGGGATGCCCATTGACTATCAGAGGGACGGATGATACCCAATTGTAGCATATAATCAAACTCGGCCCTAGCGATTTTGAGCTTATCTGGTGCTAGTCTCCTGGGTTTTGCAAACACCGGTGCACCTTCGGTTTTGATAGTGTGACTCACTTTTAGTTTGTCTTTGGAAGGCTGTGGGTTTGGTTTAGTTAAGTTTGGAAATTCCGCGAGTATATCTTGGAATTTCGCTGTTGTTACTGGAGGGGTCTGAATCAAGTTAAGAGAGCTGATGTGACTTTCTTTGCCTTTTGTGTAATACGAAGTTTCTTTTAGTGTTAATCGCCGTTTCTTGGTGTCAACTAGAAATTCGTATCTCTCTAGAAAGTCCATCCCCAGTATTGCCAGATCTAAGTCGGCTACCGTGAAAACCCAAGGGAATTGCCTCCTGAACCCCAAATCTAGGGTTAAAGTTTTCTGCCCAAATGTCGCAATTTTAGTTTTATTTGCAGCTTGAAGTGTAATTGATGATGTTTCTCGACTAATCTCAGTTTTATTTTGAGGGATGATGCTAAGAGGCAGGTGAGTAAACACCTGATAGCCGGTCTGAGCACGGAAAAATCGTACCTCACCAACATGGTGTTGGGTAGCCCGCTCGCGGCACTTCCTCAGTTATTCTTATTCCACATTCTCACACTTTCTCTTGAAAGCATGCAGCAAACCGTCGGCGATAGTTGTAGAAGAAATCACATGCTACAAAATAAGATGACAAGCTAGTAAAGAAGAGACATCCATGGACTATCGTTGACAGCGTCAGTTGTCACTGATTGTAAGTCAAACAGTGAGCGAGTTGATAATTTTCCCTTGGGATGAGAAATAGAATTAAGGTGTTTTCGATAGTGAGGTTAATCGAACCGACGTTCCTACGGAAGTCGATTCTAGGGGGAAGCTAATGTAACAGCTTAGGTTGGTTGGTTAAGAGTTGACCCCAAACAACCAAGCATATGCCAAAACAGTATTGTTCAAGTATTCATCCACTTCCTTGTTTTGTATAAGCGTTATATTCCCTATTATCTTATATTGAATGTTGAGAGCCTTTGTTTGTCTGAACAGATAATCCCACGCTCCACTGTCGTCGCGCTGAGATCGAAATAAAGACCTATTCACTACTTCTCTGGTTTCTTCTATCAATAGCACGAGGGTTACCTTAAGGCACGAAAAGCCTACTCCAACTTGTTAAACGACACGAGTCATTGTTCCTTATTATTACATTCTCTTATATGGAGCCTCTGACTTCATTTTACTACAACAAGAGATAATACGAATTTAATCCAATTTATTATACCTCTGTCCGTTCTGCTACAAAATGTTAAGCAGCGTTTGACGTTCATATCCAAGTTTCTAGTTGCTCTTCTGTTTCTCATTTCTCCATCAGAATCTTGCCACGAGGGCACAGCTATGGAACTTCTGACATCTGGAACAAACTTGACGTACGCGTCTCTTCAATGTCATGGTCTACAGCAAGCGCTCTACGAGTGTACTTTATAACAACTTTAAACTTAATAAGTTGAGAGGCATGCTGTGAGCCAACAAATGTTGTAATTTGTAGATCATGTCTGTAAAAATGGTGTGTACTTGCTCATGCAGAAATATATTACTATTAATTGTACCACTTCTTATTCCATGACGTCTGTCGATTCGAAAGAAAACGTGGTGAGGCTATAATTTGTGGACGACCTTTGGGCGACGATAAAGTGACCTTGAGAGTGTACACCTAATAACCAGAACCAAATGAGAGTTATAAACCAGTGTGAGGAATTAGAATTATGAATTTCAGTTAGTGACTGGGGTTAGGAATTAGATCTAAGGTTGTCATCACTAACTGACGTGAGTGGAATTCCCGCCAAAATCTGGGCCCTGCTATCTTATATCTGATTGGTTCGTCCATAATTTATAGTCTCGCTGAGACTGTAGTTACTTACGTGTGAGGAGTGATTAAAAATAGATAATTCACATCACGTTTCTGTATCAAGTACAACAGTTGGATTTACAAGGAATAAGAGAGTTTTAAGATGAGTAACTTTATTGGAAATAGAACAGGAATTGAATGAAAGAATAGGAGACTGAGAGTTGTCATGGTGAATCACGTTAGAGTATAGATCACGAGTGTAGTTGCATGAATACTCGTGGGATTAGCTAACGTAGGACTTTTGTTATAAGGGGAATTACATTTGTAATATATTTATCGTTGCCAGCAGAAAAGCCAGAGGAAGTGCAAAAATGTATCCTGATTGTTAGTGATTATAAAATCTGATAGACACCGTTTACACTCTGGAAGCCGGGCTAAGAAGGCTACCAGGGCTATGTGTCCGACCAAGTAGCCGTTTGTAATTCAAATTAATTTTTATACCTGATGTATGTGTAACATGTTGCAGACGTTTATTTCCAAGGTTTGTGGTTTGTTTTTAGCTCCACCGTAATTTGAGGTTAATCGAGTGTTGCTTAACATAAATGCAATGGTTTGCAGGACTCGAATATACCGACGTTCAGTGCGTTCCCCGTTACATAAATGTTATGACTATATTCTCATTAGCCGTTGCGCAGTTTTTGTGTGTGTTGCACTGACAGGGATTTGAACTGTAATATTTGACTCGTTATCAGAATGACATCATAGTGTTAGATTTAAATCAACATTTTTAAAAGGATGGACACCATCTACATTAGAATTAGTTTCTTCTGCGTTGTGAACTCCTCCCACAATTATGAACCTGTAGTGGAATTCACTCCAAACCACACGATCTTTGAAGCCGAGCATATAATTATTGAAAACATTTGCATTCAACATGCAACGCTTGATGAAGGTCAAAAATGGTAAACGCGGGGACATTCATTCAGTTAGATGGCATTGCTCAGCCTCGCAGAAGTGATAGTTGTGTGCAACTTATCGCTATTTACATAAAATATACTATTCTATTCACAGCCCAAATGTGTTTTTGAAGATTAGGCAGTAACGTCATGACATATCTACAATTGTGGGATTACGTATATTATCAAAGTAGTATCAACACCGAAATAAATCATAACTCTACCAAACTTTGGGACAGCTCTGACCTCCTTACTGGTTTGTAGAACAAAAGTGATGGGATGCTCTGGTGTGAGTTCAACAATAACATCAAACTTCCGCAAATCGAGACACTTAGGGTTGGACGGCTCACTTGAGGCAAGGCTTCCAAACACAAAATCCATCCAAGACTCTTTGGAGTAACTTCCACCAATGCTACGTTATATAGATTTTTTACTGGCCACTCACTTGCTGAAATCAAAAGGGGCGTATAAAAGCCGCCTGATACACCATATTGTGGCCGAAATTTTGCCAGGAACATCCCCAAGGAATATCAAGAAGCGCTCTTTCATGGAAGAAATAGCATTACGCAAGGTGTCCCAGAAAAAGCGAACCCTGATTATGCAGACTATGATATTGCAGAGTGAGAAACCACAAAGGAACCTTTGAAGGGCATATAAATCAAACTATTGGTGATATTACTCAAAGAAGACGGAGATTCAAGATCACGGCCTATGAAATTAATCTTCTTGTCCTCCTGTCTGGCGGCCGTCACTCTCTAAGAATTTTGTACCAGCAGACATCGGTTACCGAATGGACTCCACATGCATCCGGATAGGTCACATGTTGCAAAAACCAATCACTCGGACTTGACTATTCCATTTTTAGACTGTCAAGATCATGGAAAACACGTAGAAAGAACAGGGGATATCAATTTGAAAAATCTGGTTTACTTAGATTGCCTGTCCATCCACCTAAGGCTCATTCAGATATACAAAACGAGGAAGCTCCCGCGTTTCAAACTGAAAATATAGACTGCTTATATATGAACGCCACGAGTTTGTCGAATAAAGTGGGTAAGTTGATGAACTATGGAATGATAATACCTGAAACGTGGATTTTTTTCTTTAATTACGGATCAGGAACTAGCAATGCATAGTATGTCTTTGTTTCGTAACAAGAGAAAAACAATAACGGAGGTAAAGTGGCCCTGTACCTAAGATCTTGTTTGGTAGCACATCAAGTGCACACCCTAAAATTCACCAATCATAATGGATCTGTGTGACGTTTAATAAGATTATCGAACACCTCGAGGTTTCTAGTTGAGGTCATCTTCCGGAAGCTCATTGCTGACGCCGCGTGCTGCAATTGTACACTAGAGGGATTATCTCCCTCCATTCGTCTCGGATGCACTGATGTCCTGATTCTGGAAAACTTCAATCTTTCTGAAGTCAACTTCGTCGTACACTGGAGACGGCAAATCTAATGAAGCTCGGTTTTTCAACCTCATTAGAGATCTGAGATTATTCGAATAAGCTGGCAACGGGCTAGAGAAAAAGTCAGATACTGTTACTCTTAGACCGTGTTTTTACGAGTGAATAATTCATAATTGACAACCTCCCAATCTTGGCTCTCTTGGGTGCCCCTTCCAGCCAAACATGTTGGTGAAGCCTAACAGGCCCTTCTGGCGAAGAGGCTACATCGAAGCACGGCACAACTACCGGGGTTTAATAGTTGTTTTTGCAGGTTTTTTTTGTCTTTGGTTTTACTTTTTGTCCGGTGATTGCTGACCATCTATGTACTACATAGCAGTGATTGACTATACCTTTCTTAGTTGGGAGACTTTCAGTACAGCCAGGGTATGGACATCTATTTACACTATTTATGGAATTATTTTTAGTTATTTGGATTTTAGTTTCCTTTACTGGTGATTTGTGATGTGGGTGACACGACTGAATGTGTTTATTAGGCCAGCCCAAAGTTTTGTACGTTTTATTACAGTCATTTAGGGGACATTTGTAAGGTAAAATACTACTGGGTTTATTTTGATGATCATTTCTATAATGTCTATTCATTTCTTTGACTGTTGCGAACATTCTATCGCAGTTATTATTTTGGCTTTTATAGTCTAGTTGACGTTTACCTATTATTTTGGGGAAGTATTCTTGATATGCGTTGATTTTAACCTTATTGGGCTGTAATATCCAGTCCTCAGGTAGTCGTTCACCAATTTCTTCAATGTCTTGGTGTAGTTGTCTGAGCCAGTTTATAATGTATGCCTTCCTGTTATTGCATGGATTATCACACCGTCAAAGCCATCAATATTATCTACAAAACTGAGCTAAGTCATCCTTACGTCAACAAGTATTGGAATTAAAAGCGGTTGGGTGAGTTAGCTTTACAGGTCAATCTACAGTAGGTGGATTGAGAAGCCTACCCTCAAATTGATGAGGACACTCATTGGGACTTGTCACTGCACATGATCTTATGTGCTACAAAACAGTTCTATAAACGGTCCCAAAAATCTACAAGCAACTTACAGTCATCAAGAGTTGGTTCGCTAAGATGCGAAAGGCTTTACTGAGAGGAATGCAAATGAACCAGCAACAACAACACATATAGGCAATCCAAAAATCACGGAACCAATGAGAAAATGCAAAAGGAAAAGACAGGCTTCAGTATCAAATGAAGCTAATCGATAAGTTTGTCTTCAATCCGAAAAGCTTAATTAGTTATGCAGCCTCTCTCCGAAGAGCCAAGACCTAAGTCCTCTAATTGCTAGGTCCTAATGGCCCAACCAACAATAACGGTGACGTCATCGACCTTCTGGCGGAACAGTACTTCCGGGCAATTCAACCGGCTCACGCCAACTATATCGGCGAGAGATCCACCTACAACTCAACAGGACTCTCAGGACTGAGTCTGAGTACTGAATTGGTGTATCAGAAGGGTTAACTTCAATTATTGTTAGGACACACGATAGGCAAGTAGGGTCCACCAGGGTTCAGTACTACGACTTTCTCTGGCAGGCACGGTCTAATTTATTACCTTTTGATGACAATGTGAGACTCTAGAGAGACGTTTGCAGACATGGGGATATTTTGACACTTCAGGAGGATCTGACTCGACTTCAGAGTTAAGCAGACAACAGACTTTTCTGCAACACTTCAAAGTGTAACGTAGTCCATTCGAGGCACAATGTAACTAGGCAACTCCTCTCTTGAGGTATTTCAAGTCGAAATATATCTGGGAGTTTTGATTTCTCATGATCTGAAGTCTTACGCCAACTGCGGCAAAAATATCTTTCTGGAAAGTCTTGAAATGACAATGTTGAAGTGCATTTCTGGCCAGTCTGATGGAAGAACTTTTCACCTGATCTCCAACGGTGTTGTCCGATCTCATTTATAGTGTGGAATCATAGTTTTTCTTCCCTCACTCCAAAAGGATAAGGACACACTGGAACGCATTTGATAACGAGCCATGAAATCAGTTCGATTATCCAAATTCACGTCTTATGAACAGCGCCTCCAATTACTGAATTTTTACCCATTAGAGTTCAGACGTCTTAGAGGTGACCTTCTAATGATGTATAGCACCCTGAACACTAATGAACATCCCCTTAAACACATACTTAATTTTAATCCTAACACAAACCTTAGGATTAGCACACAGAAACTACAGAAACAGTATAACAGGACGAACTAAAGGCACACCTTCTACTCCTTAAGAGTAGTTAAATATATGTACTCTCTGCCGATTGAGCTAGTCCAAGCCACTTCCAAAGAGTTCTTAAGGTGAAAACTTGATATATTCTTAAGGACTTAGTACAGTATCCCGCTATGATTTGCTAGTCTTTCCTTTCTCTTTTATCGTTAAGATTACCTAGGTTCTTACCTGGAGGCATCAGTGATTGATTGCTACCAGATAAGGTAGCCCCTTCAGTGAAAGCTTCTTCCGTTTCATCCAGAACCCTTTGAACAATTTATTCAAATATTTTGAACCATTATGTACAATACTAATTAAAACCTACCACTAAGGTGGGAAATTCATTCTCTGGGTCAGTCGTGCAGGTAATTCAATGAGATGGGAGTTGCCTAATATGTGGGGGTCACCGTCGTTCGTTTTTACTGCATTTGCGCTGTATTGTAAGCTAAAAATTACCAACTCCCACAATATATATCTACATCTGTCGTTTCCCCAAAGTTGGGAGCCTGGGTAATTTTCGAAGTGCATGCGACTTTTTAAACTTGGCAGAAAAAGACATTTCTTTTCCTTAATTATTAACATGTCTGCGTGACAACTGTGAGATTTATATTTGTTCGATACGTCTTTCTCGGAAATATTTGTGCTTGACAATCTATTTCGAGCTCCCTATTTTGGGGAAGCCGCTATAATAAACTTCAGGGAGATGGCACCAAAACCCCAAAATTTCCCTTTAACCTTGGTGAAGGTCATTTGACTTTGTGGGTTTCCCCAAAATCTGGGATGTAATTAACTGAGTAACTACACTTCTTTTCTTTAAAGTAATACATGGAACTGAAATAGGTTGATTTAGCAGATCAGCGCGTCTTTAAAAACAGCGTAGACCAATCAAGTAGGTATTGTCCAAATGAATAATTCGCTGTTAAAAACTACCCTGCTACCACGATTCATGTCTTTATAAGGTATTCCTACATGTGATGAGAATCAAACTACAAAATAAATCCCAACTCAATTAGTTTAACATCTTATTATTCATCTACGATGTTTACTCCCTGAATAAACTTACCTAATGTATCAAGCAAACGTGACTCCTAGGTTCATTGTTATATTAAGTTCGTTAAACCACCCCCCTTAAAGTGACTTCCCCTGTGATTTGTTTACTGGGATTCGTGGCACCCGAATTCTTCAGACAAAATCTGGGACTTTATTTCATTGTCCTATTAGCACATGATATCGGCTATATAACAAGATCCTTTCAATGTTGATAAAGTAATAAATCCGTAGTGCATGTATTTTGCTTTCAATCACGAAGTCAAGAGCTAAACCTGCGTCATTTGCAGCAACTCAAACAGCAGACTTGCGGTGTCTGCACATCCCGAACTTGGTAGTCGTACACTAGTATCTCATCGGTCATACGCTAGAGATCTTTTGAATGCAGACTATGATGCACGTAGAAATTACATTCTCATCCCCAGGTCATGTCTGCAAAATCTGTAAGTTCATTATAGCTTTCCAAAATAAGACCTTGCAATCAGATTATAGTGGTTGAATGTGGGACTGCTACGTAACTGCTCAAAACTTCCATACGGCTAGTTGTTTCACCGGCCATTTCGAATTGACAGGCATTTGATAAAAAGTGACATTTAAGTACGCAGGAGAGTAGTGGTTTAGCGTACAAACACCAACACACCAGTAAACCACCACCAGCTACCGAAGTTTACCTGTTCATGAAGTGTCATTATTCATTTCATGCAACAGTTGTAGCTCAGCCTAGTTTAGAGATCTATACACGTCTCCTGAGTCCCGAATTTCAAACTCGTGTTATTTGATTTAATTTAGATCCAATTTAGTTTAAATTCACGTGTACGCAACTATCTCTTTCGGAAGCGTTTATACAGTGTAACCATGAAAGTCATGATTGACAGAAATCTCAAGTGGCTGAATATGCCACTGCCCATTTCTATTCCAAAGTACTGGTTTAGTTATCAAAAGCGGTTGACTTCGAGCCACAAGTTAGAGGATCCAAACATCATTATACATAATCCGACTAGAGCAGTATTACACTAAGAGTATAGCCTAAAGCCGAACACGCAAACTTGTATCCCATTCCTGAGTCACTAGTTGGGAAGTCTGTTTGTTGTCCTCTTATTTTTGTTTATTTATACTGTGCACACTATTTCATGACTTGATCACAAGTTTTAAGCGGTAGTATTTCATCAAGAAGCGCTACAACCAAACTCCAACGATAAGATTGTGAAAGAAATGAGCAAAACTAGCTGTTTCAGCACCTAATTAAACGAAATATTTGCCATTGGAAATCAGATTCACTCTGATTTAAAAACTAGCAAAAAGTAGAAATAAATAAATAATCCATTACATATAATAGTAAGTTTGATGAGAGATCAATATCCAACTTGTCCCAGACTGATTGAAAATTTAACACCCACATTGACAGAACAAGTGTACAATCTGGACAGTCTCATCAGCGGTTTAAACACTAGTTATATATATTAATCTGTCAGATTTAGATCACTAACGATGGGTTCTTTTCTAGAAAATCGAAGGGATGGCACATAAACAGACACCAAGAGACTTCTTGAAACTCATAGTCGGGAGACCAGTGGTAGTTAAGCTTAACTCAGGTGCTGATTACAGAGGTAATTTTATATCCATGCAGCTTAAATAGTTTGCAGGTGTTCTAATTTCTCTAGACGGTTATATGAATGTGGTGTTGGAACAGACCGAAGAATATGTTGATGGTCAGCTGAAAAACAAATACGGTGATACTTTCATCCGAGGAAACAACGGTAAGTCACATCAGCATTTCTAAGCCGTTGCAGTTTTTTACATTAGCACACAAAAGCGTTGGTGATGGATATAATTTGTACAGGCCTTTTTTATATGAACAAATCGCGTGCTTAATTCGCAAAATAAATGTGCTTACTCCTGTATATTTACGTTTCCTGAAACCATAGTACGATTCACAAGACGTAGACAACGGAAGGATAATAATTAATAAAAATTTTATTACATAAAAAGCACATCTTGATTATAAATACATCTTTCTGAAAAACAGTTCTAATTACTCCACGTAATTAGGATGCACGACAATGTAAGGATCAGCGGTATCAGCAGATGCATCCAGTCCTGTACCACCAATAGTTATGAGAATATTATCCTGTAAGAAATAGGGAAGTTTCCATTGTTTCATTAACACTAAATGTATGCATAAAGCCAGTTGATTCATTGTTAAAGACACTTGCTAATAAACCTAATTCCTCATAACTCACTAAAACATTGGTGGGATTAACCAGTAGTACATATCCTTACATAAGACTGTTTTTAACCACATCCATAACTACATACAAACAGCGCAAAATATTGTAAAGTAAACTAATAACACGGTACGTTAGCCACTTCCGCTTAAGTTCCGTAATCCCGTTGCTTACATGAAGAGACGTGACCAGAAGAGCACATGTGTTCTGGTGAGTATATAACACCTTTTAATCGTAATTAACCGACTTATTACTATCACAAAACCCCAAATCTATGAAATGCAGGAAATATTTAACGTTCTGCATTGTTTTTGTTCCATGTCAACCAAAACCAAAACGAATACTGTAGTTGCCTTGGTCAATAACGTATATTGAAGCGAATGTTTCAGTCTTTTTTGATAGTCGAGCTATGGGCGAAATGCAGAGGTGAATGTTACACAACTAGGCTACATAATTTCTTATTCATAAGTAAAAAGACATTTTGATGCGTGCTTCATGTCTCACAACTACTAAACATTACATCTTACAGTTCGAATAATTTGTATGTTTTGTAAGTAGCAAGGATTCGATGAAGCCAATATCTGGTCGAATCTATGAAAGTAGGACAGAAATGATTTGACTAAAACCAATAAGACTTATTCCTCTTCATCCAACATGCTTGGTTTCATCAGGGTTCTTAGAAGTCAGACACAGTCGCGACATATCACTTGTTGAATGTTTTAGAAAAAGTAACTTTCGGAATTCTATATTTTGAGCGGTAAGTTGTTTTTGCGTAGTTTCACATAGATAGCAGTATGTAGATCTCCTATTCATTTTACTTTCGGTACAGATAATAAAACAAACCTTTTTGTACTCGAAAGCGGTAAGATAAGCAAGGATTCCAAAACCATCCATAAACTCAAAAGGAGCTTCCAATATAATAACGAATATGTTTTTTTTGTATTTTTAATATTCTTTTACTTCCGCTATGTGTTGTAGGATTCCTGATACACTTAACTACCCATCGCGGTAACTGATTCATTACTTCAGCGAATAATCGTTGATTAATGTTGCACATTACCATATCAAATAAACGGTGAAATTATCGACATCAATTGTGGGAGAGACTCGCCAACTCTATTCAAAAGTACTGGTACTACGAAAGCGCTGAAATACCAAGTAAAATAAAAGCGACCACCTAGAACAGTGCATTTATATTATATAGCTTGGATGTGTTAGTATCATGGGAATGAGATAATTAGTTCCGAAATTTTAAATAATGAAGCCTAAGATTCTGAAAATCTTTATCTTTGTAGCTCTCAGTGGCCTACATAGTTCGTTTCAAAAGAAGCACCATGAATACTTCCAATCTAGGACTCGAAAAGTAAACAAATGCCAAATGTAACGAAAAGTGATGTTTATAAGCTTACCTTTTTTATTAGGCGATCGATTATGCGTTCGACAAGAAGCTTGACTTCCGCTAACTGCGCTTCGGTTTCAAATTCATCAACAACTTCTTCTAGATACCAGTTGACTAGTTCACTCCTTTTTGGGGCACCAGGAGTTTGATCAGACTCACTATCTGTTGCTAAGGTCTCACACCAGTTTCGGGCCCTCAAAATTAAAAGACTAGCAATCCGTCTATACTCATCATATGTTACTCGTAAATGTCCAGCGGTTGTATTTGTCTCGGTAGTTGGCTAGTTAAAACAATTAAAAAGTGGAAAAATAAGTGAGAAATTTGATAAGATTTGAAGAACACAATTTTTTTCAAAAATACATACCTGGTCAATAACTGGTGTTTCCGAAGCATCTGTCAGTTGATGTTGGTCTTCCTCTTCTAGATTTATATCAGGCTGTTCAACTCGTATTATGGATTTGTTTAAGAGAGCAAAAGCTTCCCGTACATGAGCTTGTGTTACCTGTTATGAAGAACGAAAGACTCTTAATAGAGTACGGTTTACTTGTATAAAAGAAAAATGTTAGTAGCGACAACTATTACATTGGTGTTGGGAAGACGCGAGGAAAGATCATGAAACATGGAGTTATTAAACGATCTGTTTGGGATGTTTTCTTATAGACTTGATTTCGCGCTATTGCTTGATCTAATAACAGTTTCCCTAACCTACTGTGGATAAATGAGTTAACTATAATTGCCTTGTTTAGCTTTGCGCCAAAGCGCCTAGTAATGTACATATTGTTAGTTAAAACCTGTTATTTTAAATATACGATCACATGGCATGATTCAAGAAAATACAACGTACTTATAACCATTCCTCCAGTGTTCCGATTTGCGGGCTGAAAAATTAGTTCCGGCTTAAGATTGTCTACTGTTTCAAACATAGCTACTATATCCATGGAATAATTGCTATTGACTATTGACACAAGTAGTCACGAAAAGAAAGTAAACCGAACTAGATGCTTTGAATACAATCACTTATCAATCAGAACTTTCCATATATGATGGACCACTTCAAGTAGTATTTTGTATGACAACGATGACTATTGAATATTTGCATATCAGATTTTTCATAACTTATACAATTTCCAGTCCCTTAAGACAACACACTGACGATTACGTTGGTACAAACATTCAGTTGAACGCGCTAAAATGTGGCATGAATGTGAGGACCGTACAAAACTGTGTGCCCTGAACAAGTAATGTCTGATAGGAGTGATGAACTGGGAACATAAGTAACGTCACTAGTTGTAAATCGGCAAGAGTGACCTAAAGTATACTGTAAGGTTCGATACAATAAAAATCAGTAATTTGGCGATATCGGTTGATTTACGCCTTTAAAGGTAAGACTAAAATTTCGAATCAAGGGTTTACATAAACGAGCGTGCATATGGAACGAAATTTAAAGTTGACATTACGTTAATACACCACAACTCGAACAATAAAGAACTGGATAAGTCATTTTGAGTTGAATACGTAAAATTTAGGAAATAAAAATCTTACGGTATCTGCACAGTGTAGTCGTGCTGTTGCTTCTGAAAGACGAACAAGACTTTCCAGCTGTCTAACAGTGATGCGCCATGCAGACTTTGTCCCACTGGAAGCATCTCTCTGACGCATTTTTTTGTACTCTTCAACCATGCATTCCATAGCTTCCCCGCTTATCTGATGGTATAAAATGCAGTTAGAAAAATATGATTCCACGCCACTAGGTAATCTCAAATGAATAACAAGACAACTATATTTCCTACGGCATATGGTAAATTGACCAGTAAATAGTTTAATATTTATACCATAATAATTCTTCTGCAAAACAGCACAGAACACACTGATACTATATGAAGCTGGCTATGATAAAAACATAAATATTTGACCAGGAAACAAACGCAACTCAGTAATCAAGTATCTGTTCATCCGTGAGTTACACTTACTCTGTAAAGGTTATAAGTACTATTAGGATGTTCAAGCGTCCAGTAGGCGTTCTTCACTGTTTAATATTCCTTACCATCATCTACACAATTACTATTTCGAATCTTTTGGTATTTTTGTTACTTTCATTTCGAGATGCTGATACCGAATAATTTGTCTACATATAAACACTTAGGATGTGTATTTGTGGCAAGCTTTATACTCGGTAAGACTGAATATTATGATTAGATCCCTATGATCTTTCTGTCGGTCTTTGAAGAAAGCTAGGAAACAAACTATAAACACCATTGAAATAATTATCTTGATGGCAAAGTTTAGTAAATACTGAAGTAATGTGAAAAAAATTATTCCATACTTTTGGTTTAAAGCAACGAGCAAAAGCGATGTAGCGACGAATGTTGTCAACTGAATAGATGGTGTGAGTATCTTCTGCGCCATGTCTCCCCATATGCAAATCTACAATTGAACGAGCGATAGCATAATCCACGATCTGGAAAAAAAAGTAATGAGCAGGAACGTAACAGTCAAACAAATACATTGCACAAAATTAGCATAGTTCGTTTGGTAATTTGTCAGATATATCTCAGTGTATCCTGTGAGAAGTTAGGGTATTGAATAGATTAGTGCATGAGGAGATCGGTATTATATTAATTAAAGTCTTTAGAATTTCCTCCGAAATGTCGTTCAAAATTACTATGAGAACTACTGGAGCAGGTTTTCGTAAATAAGTCGCTGTTAAATAGCTCATTACCATTTACAAAATGTGACGCGATACCACTTACTTTACGTCAATCACGAGAACGTAAGAAAACTAGTAAGTAGACGGAAACCCAATCGTTCTTCTCAGGTCATGTTGTGAATTGTTAACTTGTGGGTGAGATCACTTCGATAAACAAAAAAACAAAACAGAACTCATCCAAGATCCTAAAGCATCTGACAAATACGTGGTCTCAAGATAATCTGACGTGTGATTTTATCCGTAAAAGAATTTCTAGGTTCAGAAGCAACTATTAATTGGGATTACTTTGCCTCCTATAGGTGAGTCGGGTAAGTAGAACAAAAACTAAGGAACTTACGTCGTTGCATTCATCAATCAGCACAAAAAACAGGTCAAAACGTGATATGATGGGAGCAGACAAGCCAATATTATGTCGTAGAGATTTTGATCTGTCGTAGCGACCACCAATGGGGTTAGCTGCTGCAAGAATAGAAGTGCGAGCATTTAGTGTAGCTTTCACACCAGCCTTCGTTATGCTAATTGTTTGTTGTTCCATCGCTTCGTGAATTGCGACTTGGTCTTTAAGATCCATCTTATCGAATTCATCTATGCAGCAAACTCCCTTTAAGCAAGAAATTTAAAACTAGTGAAAAAATTGTATACAAAAAC